GAACACTTTTGTCACCTTTTGATTTTCCTTCATCTTGCTGTGATTTTTTCTCGGTAGGGTTTTTCTTGCTTTTGACAAAACGACCTTTCTTGTTTCTTGAACATTGTGAATTGACACCACCACCACACAGTTTATGTACTCCATTTGTTGGCAATTGTTCTAGAATTACACAATTTACTGTCTCTCTTGTGAACTTCTCATCTCCTCCATGCTCATTTTTTGACTTTAAATAAACTGTTTCAGTTTCCAGTTGATTTTTCTTTGATTTTACTTTTACCCATTCATTATTCAATTCTTCACTTTCTATTTGTTGCAACTTTGTTTTCAAACAATTTTTCTTAACTGGAAAATTAGTACTATCTTTGTTGTTGCTACATTTCCTGGATTTGTTTTTTAAATTAGTTTTCTTATTTTTTACATACCTCTTCTTTCTTCTGCCAAATTTCCTTCTGTTGTTCTTTGTTGATTGCAGCAGGTCAGTATCAAATTCTCTTTCAAGGAGCTTGTATATATTGAAATGACAAGGGATGTCTAATGTATCAAACATGCGATGAGCGATGTTCTTATTCCCACAGGATGAACAAATCCAGATTAGTCTCGTATTACTTAGTTTGTCCTCACTAAGGAATCCCATACATGCAACATGAAAATGGTTACTACACGACTCGCATGTTTTATTACTTTCATCCTCTCTGATCTCATTGTTACATAAACAACATTCATTGTGCTCTGAAGAAGTGATAGCTGATGTGCAAGCACGAAGTATATCTATGATTTCACCAACTACTTTCTTAAATTCAATTGTATCCATTATGAAAAATTCCCATTTTCAAAAAGCTTACAAATTTTAAATATATTTTATAGGCACACAAATTCCCCTTTTAAAATTTCTTTCAAATACTGATTTCTGTTTGATATCTATATATTCCTGTTTGATATTTAAAATGCCAATTAATATTAGTTTTGAAATACTGTATAATTCAAAATCAGGAATGTAAAAATTTACAAGATACGCATTAAAATGATTATATCTCAAGACGACACACTACACACTGTTTATACCACAATTAATTTCTTTTCAGAATAAACGTACTGTACACTCAATCAATAGAGATTCAAGCTTCTGGTCTGTACTTACTTTTGCAAAAGAATCCCTGTTAGTAATTTCTTCTCTGTTCGTCCTTACTTTAGTTTCCTGTCAATAGAGATTTCAGATTTTGTTTGAAGTTTGCTTTTGCAAATGAGAATTTGTTGTCCTGTATGTAGTGATTTGTTAATGTATCAATTTGCTTTATGTTGTTTCTTTGTAAATTTATATTCTTTGTAAATTCAATTCTCTGTTATGTTCAATTCTTTGTATATTCATGAAATTCTTTCTTTGAAAATTCTTTCTTTCGAAAGTGTTACGGCTATATTCTTCCAAGAGATTCTCTCTTTGTAAATTCAATATATTATTTCTTTGAAAATTCTTTCTTTCGAAAGTGTTACGGCTATATTCTTCAAAGAGATTCTCTCTTTGTAAATTCAATATATTCTTCAAAGGGATTCTCCCTTTCTAAATTCAATTGTTTCTTTCTTTTCTTTTCTTTGTATATTCAACTTATTTTCCTTTTCTTCTTCTTTTCTTTTCTTTTTCTTTTCTTTTTCTTTTCTTTTATCTGAACTGAAATGAAATCGACAAAAGAGATGATGGTGAAACAAATGAAGGTGAAATGTATAACAAGTTGAATGAAAATGAAAATTTGAAAGACATAAAATTCCAACAGCCAGATACCTACAGAGAAAGAAAGAAAAAAAAGAAGTCAATTATGTGGTTTGCAATCAAGAAAATTACACAATTAGGAAAAATTCAAGACTATGAATGTTTAAGTGAAACTCATGCTATTGATAGCACTGTTATTTTCAACAGATTTGGTGACTGTTGTACTCCACAAAAACTCTATCTTTACTTTATTTCATTTATTCATCGAAACCACAAAAACAAGTACAATAGCAATAAAATTAATAATGACATAAAGAGACAACCTCCAAGAAACCCCCATAGACCTTATAATATGAGGCCCACAAGATAACCTACTCACAGTTTAACAATATTGAAAGAAAACTTTTCAAAAACTATGATATGTAAGCATTAAATTTGGCTAGCATTTCACTTTTCATATGAGCAACTAATCTTTCATAATTGATATTACAGTGTTCTCACTTCATATAATTTTGCTTGCATATTTCACTGATACATAAATTGATCACTGAATTTGATGCGCGGCAGTTTGCAATATTTAACCAACAAAGACACTGTGTATTGGCATGCTATTATTCTCTTACAGTATATCTATTAATCAGAATTGAAGACTTCGATTTGTTTCATATTTCATTTTTTTCAATCATATTATATTTTAGAGCAGAATACTGACCACCTTCAGCAAAACACCTCACCTCACAAATTCAATTGTGTAATCTGAAAGACAAAAAAATACATGAACATCATTCAGTGCTATATATTAATTGACAGACTAATTATACTTGCAATGTTTTAGACCAATCAGCGCCAAACCATCCACACCTTTTGTCTAAGCTAATTCGGCCCAGCCTAAAGTATGCCTACTGTATGTCAGCCATCCTGCTTAAGCAAGGCTTAGATTAAGCGATAACAGTTAAAGGCCTAGGTCTAGCAAAATACATTTGCTACGGCACTGACAATAGGCTATCTTGACTTTACACTTAACCGTTCTTATGGAAAACTATCTAACGAATAAGTTTAAACTTTGAATTTCAACTTGTTTTTAAATGCCTATCCTACGCTACGCCCCTCCCCCACCCCAGACCTAGCGTATCAAAATAATACACATCACTTGTGAAACGTATTTCAGAAACAAACCCTAGAAAGGTCAGTGCAAATACTTCAACTTAAATAGTTTATATTGTTCTCTCTCAAAATGTTTATAACGTCAATCATTACGTTCGGGTATGATATAATACTGTGTAGGAGAAAGACCCAAAAATACCTGTTAGAGAACCAGGGAATCTCATTGAGTGGAAACTAAAACCTTCGGTTTACGCTTACGCTAGCTGTTTCTTGTAGAAATAAAAGGATGCCTTCACCTAAGAATTATACACAGTCTGAAGTTTGCCCATTCATGTTGTTCTAAAATGTGGTTTTATTATGGAGATACTTAAAACACACGTAATACCCTCTGAAAATGCTAGAAAACACTTAATACTAATTATTTCACTTAAAATAATAACCTTTAAGCGTGGTTCCCACTAGGACGTACACTCAACGCAACTGACGCAACGTAAGAATATGCTCTTCCAACAAAGTCGCACCCCCCTCTTTGCGAAAAGTTGAAATTTCGCTGTAAAGCTTGGTTGCGTCAAGACAACACGTAAGAAAAGTACATGGTTCCCATTTGGCGACGTAACGACGCAGGGTGAGCGGGAAATTTAATTCGATGTCTTTGCAAAATACTGTGCAGCGCGCGACAGTAGGCCCTACTGAGAAGTGACAACATGCCGAAAAACAACGACAGAGAATTTGCAAGAATATGTATAGGCCCCACTGTATCTTTTATGAAAGCGGAAGACAAGAATAAGACTAAACAAAGGAGACGATTTTGGGTGCGTGAAATATTTCAAGAAAGAAATTTACATGGCCAACATTCTTATTGAAAGCCACCGACCGAGAATATTTTTTCAGGTGAGTAGCCTGGCCTAGGCCTAGTAGAGTAGGAGGGCCTGGCATAGGCGGTCTAGGCCTAAGCCTACGCTAGGGCATCCTGTGAATATTTCCATTGTTGGTGCCTAGCTTTAATGAACCTCTGCAAATTAGAATCTATGAATTTTACTCATAGCCTAATGATTACATATTATTATTATTATTATATTATTATTATAAGCCTAGGTGCCAACATTATCTTTTTAATGAGTGAGGGTTTTTAAGAAGGGAAAAAGCTAGCCAGTGCAGTGGTGGTAGGCCTACCTCCAGCGGAGGCCTACTGTTTTCCCCTACCCAAGCAGTCAACTCAGCCCCAATTAAACCACATTAAAACCACATTTTGGTTAAATTAAAGTATTTTAAATTGTTGACGTTGGTATTTTTTTTTTACATTTACAATATATACATTATAACAATAATGAAACCTGCATTAAATATGAATATTAAAATAATATTAATAGTAATAATAACAATATAAAAAGGCATATTATTAGCTGTATCTAATGACATGATTACAATAGTAACAACATAATTATGACAATACTTAATGAGTTATATAGACATAATAATGTATAAATATGAATACATAATAATGTATACATA